TTGCTGCAACATTTGTCATAAATGCCACCAGGCTAAACATGATACTTGTAGAAGCTCCGAAAGTTATACAGAAATCATTGCACTGATACAAAAATAATGGAAACGCCACCACGGCGCAATCATTGCTGCAATTATAGGTAATACTCGCAAAAAGATAAACAAATCTCAGGCAGAAGGATAGACAGTGTCTCTGATTTTCTTTAGAATATTGTGTGTATGTACATGAGAGTGTCTTTAGGCCACTCCAAAGGCGGCAGCAGTGGCAAAGCAAATTACCAGAAGTACATAATTGGTGCCCATAACCCACTGGCATGGCGATTTTCAGTCAACAGTCCCCCACTCTCAGTCCCCTGGCCCCAGTTCGATTTCGAGTGCGAGTAGTCTGGCCATAAACCAATCGCTGCTTGACTGCTTGGATAAGAATAATGGCTGGGGGTACGTATAGCAGCAATAGCAATCCGAAACCCAAGTACAGGCCGTAATCGTCGATTAATGATTTGCATATAGCCCGGAGGGCGTATCGCGTATCGCGAATCGGACAGGATGTTGATTACTCCGCCCGTATATGGCCGGTGAGTACATTTCAATACGATTCAATGATCTAGATTAGGCGCGCACTGTGCCGGACAGGGGACGACTGTTATTGACGGAGTCCATAGAAGCAGCAGCAGCAGCAGCAGCAGCAGCAGCAGAACCAGCACCACCAACAGTTGGCACAATCGTGAAATAATATAATATTATTTCCACCTTCTCCATACCAGCGATAAGCCATACCAACCCGGCTGACTGTTGGACAACCCGCGACGCTTACACGCTTCGCCAGCCTGATTGCCGCACCCGATCCGCACTCCTCCTCCCGAACTACTCTTTCCTCTGCTGGCCATATCAACGATATGTCTCACAAATGCGAGGACAGTTATTTGGTCGATCGTTTCGTTACGATCCGATCCGATCCGACCCGCTCTGCTCAGTCCAGCTCTTGCTCGACACTTCGAAACTTCTCCCCTCCCCTCCCCGGACGGGTTGTTGGTCAGGCATGCATGACCATCATGTCATGTCAGCAGCACAAACGTGCCAGCTTATCAGTGTGCGGACACAACTCGAGGGGGGTCCACCGGGGAGCAGGTGCCAAGCAAATGTATGCCTCGAGTAGTGCTAAAAGCTGAGCAGACAATGCATCCTTCGATTGATTTTAGTGGGAGATCATAAGCAGATCAGAAGTGGGGCAACATTTTATATAAAATATACATAAAAGTGTGGATACAAAGATAAGCAAAATTGTAATTTAAATTTAAACAGTTAATTGGCAGCTTTAAGACATTAGCTGAGAGTTCTTCATGGATTCATGTTCTGATTGCTCCATTCACTTTTCGTGCGGTACCCCATCTCAAGAGAAGTCGAAGCCTTTATGTACGGACATACATTTTTTATTAATATCATCCTAAAAACGAAATTGAAGTGGCAGCTAAAACTGCCACAAGCACACGCTGAAACTGATTTGCCCATAAATTTACTCAAGCTGTTTGCAAAACCAAAAATATTAGAAATTTGTAGAAAGTTCTGTAAGTTCCGCATATCATTGTCCTGAATTTGCATCATTAAAATCAATGTTGCCAAAGGCCTCGCGTGGCCAGGGATTCGACTAATTAATTTTATTCCGAAAATAGTGAAGAGTTACAAATTCTGTTGAGATCCATAACAAATATCCATAAATCATACGTACAATACATACACGTAGGGGTCATTCACGGACATCTCCTGTTGTCTTTCAGTTAAATATTTATAAAACTTACAGCAATACGATGCATGTGTGGCTGCTTTTTGGGAAAGGAAAGTGAGGTAATGGGCACAAGGCAAAGATCGAATTGGATCAAGGAAAATACAAACTCGGGCGCATCCCATTCCATTCTATTGCATTCCCTGTGGCACTTGTTCTTGAGCACTTGAACATGTGGAGGAGCTGTGGGGACAGTCTCCAGTCGCTGCAGTCGATCGTGTCTACTGCTTAAAGGCACTTGATCAGCGATGATTTCGGAATGTTGGCCCCACCACTGGCGTTCGAATTTGGCATTGATAAAGACAGACAACATCGTACGTAGTCCGAGGTATGTAATGAAAAATTGATTAAAGTATACGTACGAGTGTGTATGTGTGGTCTGATCAAATAATAATACAAATGTATTTATCACAAAATAAACGTAGAAATTAAACACAGACAGAGACAGAGAGAGCGCAGAGTAGGGCAAATAAATGAGATTACAATTAATAAAATAATCGATAAGTGGCTATCAATATCTGGACAGGGACTGCACAGGCACACACAAATGTACATATGTATGTGAGTGCATATATATGTACATAAATATATGGTCTGTATGCCAGATTGTAGGCCATAGTTAATTACGCGTTCTGATTTTGGGTGGCCACTCGAGGCAGTGCAAATTGGGGTACAGATTGTTTCCCAGGCTATCCCGATTCGTGTGTGCATTGAACTACATAAATAGGTACAATATATTTCGAGGACTGTTCTGTGAATTGGGAATATTCTTATGCATTTTTTTAGATACAAATTAGATCAGATAAGAAAATTCGACGAGAAAAGAAGCTCTGCAACTCCAAGCAATTATATGTGCTACATACAGATGCAAAAGGGATTTAAGGCGGTGGCTTTGACAGATGCTCCGAGGTAGCAGCAACTTAATTGTTGGCTTTATGCACACTTGTACTGATGTACTTCTACGGGAGTAATCTTGGCCAGGACTTCATACGCCCCCCCCAACTAATAAGGAAATAATAAGATCAGCAATTACTAGATATTCGAGTGTGAACCAGATATCAATACTCCACACAAATTGTGTTATGAAGCCCAACGATCGTAAAGGTACAATAATTCGTGTATGTGGGTGGGGTGGAGAGAGCGGGGGCTGGCAACATTTATGGCACTTCAGTTGCAGTTGTTCAAGTTTATAGCCCGTGTAAAAGTGTGTGTTCGATTTCGTACCGCCCTCATGCCGCTGGTCGTTGTCCGTTTGCTCTTTCTGCAGTGGCACTCGATGTTTATGAATGCCTGCAAAAAAATATAATTATTATGCCAAACAGTATCTGTTGTTGTTGTTGTTGTTGTTGTTTCGCATAATTCGATTCGGACTGGGCTGGAAGACACACACTGTGAGAGTGCTGATGAGAGTGGCTCCATGTGGCATCCACTTCAGTGCAGTGAATCAAGTCAAGTCAATTCAAGTGCGAGTGTTCCACTGATGAGTAATTTAATTTGTCGTTTATTAGAATAGCACTCGTATTATTTTATGAGATACTCCAGCCCCATCTACTTGACTTCGAGTTCTTTATTTGCCAAATGTGTCACTGGTCGGGGGCAGGGGGTTGGGGCAGATATGTGGGGCACAGAGCTGATTTGCCGTCGGCTCTTTGACTACTTCACCCATTCGCTGTGATGAAACGCCCTTGATCGATGGTTAATTGCATCTAAATTCAAGCCACCAGACAGAGTGTTCCAGATATTGTATGTTCCATACATAGATGGTAGCTGGTATTATAGCTTAAAGTCCGATTGCAGAGCACTGGGCAGCGGGGTCTGGTCTGCTTATCGGGCTTAAAGGCTTTATAGCGACCCGACGCTATCCACCAATATTGTTGTGGTGTCGTAATCAACAGAAATTCAACTCAATGGATTACGGTTGCAATCGCAGAACAGAACGGTAGCTAACTACCATAATCAAGACCATATTTATGGTGTGTCCAACATGTTTATACGCCCCAAACGAGTGTTTCTGTGTGTGTGGGGATAGGCATTTACGATGCCACAAAAGTGGATCAGTTGAGGGGAGAACTCGTTCCACTCGATTCCATTTTCACTCAATTGAAACACTGAAACTCTCGTTGCAATAAACTGCATGGATTCCGGAGTGCCAGTACACCAGTAAGTGAATTTGAGTTTCGAACTCGCATAAACTCGTCCATAAAGCTGGGGCTTCTCTGCCGATTAAATTAAAATCCCTTTGTTCTTTCGAAACGTTGATGGTTTTGGCCACAAAACCTTTACCTACCAAATGCTTAAACGCTGTCTGAATTAATTCCCAGATTGAAAGTATTTCCGGCATTGAAGTAAATAACACTTTTTCGTATAACTTCTTTGTAAATGGGTTTTTATTAAATCTCTAAAATGTATGTTGCAGAGTTTTGGGTTGGGTTGCTTCGCTTTGCTTCTGTCTCGAAAACATTTGACCTGCGCTGGATTCTGTCTAGGTCTCCATCTTGATTTTGGGGTCATGTCCTTGGGTACTTGCTAACATTTCTGAACTCATTACTCGCTATAAATTCAAGGAGTGTTTTTTTGTTGTTTTCATTACTCGCTATGCACACACTCGCACACACACACACACACGCACACGCAGGAAAAAAAATATCGGCTACGACTAAGTGTCTATTCATGCGACAAAAAAAAAATCACTAAATTCTGGCTACACACAAAAAAATGGAACACTAATTAATGCTTTAGGTATTATATAGTACAGACATATGATTTATTTGCATTGCGATCTGTGACGTACATATGTACATGTACATTATATACTCATATTTAAGTAATTTCTTTATAATATTTACACGGGCTTCCATTTGGATTTTGTATAAGGCTAAAGACTAAGACAAAAAAAAAAATAAATTCTCTAGATCTAGTTTTATAAGTATTATCAACTTTAGTGCAAAAAAAAAAAAGGTATTATGTTTATATGATTAATTAATTATGGTATGTAAATATTGTTTTTTGGGAATGGTTATTTGGGTAGAGAAGGGCTTTAGAAATTCTATTGACTAAATTGGGCCCTTGAGCTCTTGAGCTGCACGGGGGCTTTTGTAGGTAAATCTAATTTATAATCTGTAATTTTTAATGTTTTTTTACACTTATGATATCCGCTCTCAGAACTCTTCTTAGTTAATTTTGTTGTTTGTTTGTTGTTTTGTTTTTTTGTGTGCTTTATGTATTTTTTTGTGCCTCTTTGTCTGACTTATTTACAGGATGGACAGAGGCTTCTACTTTTGACTATGTTTTACGTTTTCCACATCTATTTTTTGGCTGCTTCTCCTTCTCCTTCTACTTTGACTTCTCGTTCTCGTTCTCGTTGCTCATTTCTGTTGTGGGGTGGGGTCTGGCGAGCGGGCACGTTCCATTATTGCACCAAAGTTTTGTTCGAATTCCCAGCTCCAGTGTCGACTATTCGAGTGTCCATACCCCCATGCCACTCCGCATCTAGCTGTACTAGGGCCACCAGGCGGCGCGCTGCGCATGCGCATGCGGATGGACATGGGCATGGGCCTGGGCATGGGCATGGGCATGAGCATGGAGTCCGGCGGCAGCAGCGGCCGCCGCGTGCTGATAGGCGGCCCCATTCAACGCCACCAGATGATGGGCAGCGGCCGCATTCTGCATGGCCGTGGCCGTCGCTGAGCTCACCGAGACGCAGTCGGGCGCCAGCTTGGAGCCATCGCCGAGGCACGGCTTGCCGTTGCGCACCAGCACGGGCACAGCGACGCGGCGGGGCGAGGGCAGCGCCGACGGATGGTGCGGGTGGGTGGCGTGACCATGCAGCAGGCCCGGATGCTCATATCCCTTCTCGTTTTGGGCCCGCTTCGTCTTGTAGCGATGATTCTGGAACCAGATCTTCACCTGTGTCGGCGTCAGACGAATGAGGCTGGCCAAATGCTCGCGCTCCGGCGCACTGAGGTAGCGCTGCTGCCGGAATCTTCGCTCCAGCTCGTAGGTCTGGGCCTTGGTGAAGAGCACGCGGCGCTTCCGCTTCTTGTTGGGCAGACCGTCGCTGTTGAGGCCGCCACTGCCGCCGCCACCGCTGCCGTCCGCATCGTCCACGTCGTCGATGTCCTCCTCGATGCCGTCCTCGTTGAGGCTGTCATCATGCCCGCTGCTCGCTCCTCCACCATTGATGGGGTCATGCTTCAGGCTGTGATTGTTGTTGTTGTTGTTGTTGCTGGTGCTATTGTTGTTGTTGTTGTGCAGGGCATGTGCCGCCGAGGGTCCACCGGAATTGCCGCCCCCATGGATGGAGTGCATGGCATCGCCCACGGACAGGGCATCGCTGTCCGCGGACCGACTGTAGTTCTTGTAGTCGCCGGAGAGGGCGGGCGAGGTTTGGCAATTGGAACCGATGTACGTGTAGGAGACCTCCGATGTAACCGGCGATGTGCTATCGGGACTAGCCGGCTGCTGTGTGCCTGCAGGAAGAGCGAAGGGGAGAGAGAGAGAGAGACAAGAGTTGTGGGTTAGCGAGATGGCAGAACAAAAGGAAACCCACTGCCAATGGACAACGAATTTGTCAGCAATGCCAATAAATTAATGCCCCGACACACCCCTTAAGTCACACCCTTTTTAGCAGCTACCCACCCCTATCGGAATGGATCGCATCGCATCGGATCGGATCGGATCGGCTCGCATCGGCATGATCGGGCGAAAATTGTGTGTGTTTGCCGAAGAGGAGTCAAACACTGGCAATTGGATTACGGCCCGACATGAGGCTGTGGTCGATCTTTACTTTGGGGTGGGCCAGATGTGCGGGCACCGTCCCTCCCCTCCCCACCCCTCCCCTGCCACTGCTCCCGCCACGACATGGGTTCGGGTCTAATAATGTCAATTAGGCAGCAAGAGACACAAGCAAAAATTGACAGGAAAATCTCCTGCTACCTGGTCTCGACGGTGCGATCTCCTGCTGCTGACTGCTGACTGCTGACCTTCGGGATGCAAGCGGTTGGAATGGGATGCTAATGAAAAGGCATTTACGAGTGCTGTGTGCCACGGAATGTGTCCTGGGACTGCGACTGGGACTCGTACTGGGACTCGTACTGGGTTGGGCAGACAAAAGGCAAACCTCAAAACATCAATGGCATTTCATTGCACGACTCTTCCGGTTTCTCCTTCTCTCTCTTTCAGTGGTTTCCCTCCATGGGGCGACCGCCCACTTTTGATGTGACTTTTGTTGCGCGTTGATTTATTATCGGGCGTGGCGGCTGCCCCTCGGATCGGGTGTGATCCATGCCAACCGCAAGGGCTCCAGAAGAGATCATAGATCATAGAAAAAACAGAAGCAGACTCGAGAATCCACTCCAGCTCCTCCTCCTCCTCCTGCTACGACTATTCCTACCATTGACTAAACAAAGCCCAGCGGCTAATGCTCATCCATTACCCCATAGCTGTTCCCCCCTGCGCGCTGCTTCCATGACAACTCAACAAATTAATAACTTAATATAATCAAAACGACTCCTCGTCGACGCTCCTTCTTACAGCTGTGAAGTTTCCCAAAAAAAAAAAAGAGCAGAGCACAGCAGACAGCCAGAAAACAAAAAGCGAAAAAGCGGAAGAAAAAAAAACGGCAAGCGGGCAGCAATTATAATTTGTAGCCAAACAAAAAAAAAAGGAATAATAAATGGTGGTGGTGGGGGGGAGGCAATCGACAAAAGGGACGTGAACGTGGACGAAGCGGAAGTGCGTGCCATAAATTGCCAGGACGAGTGAGAGAGAATATGTTTGGGCCGTAACAACAACAACAAGCGACAATGGCTGGAAGGCAGGCTGGCAGGGCCCAGCCAGGCCAACAACAGAGTTAATCCTCAAGTGTGAATCGCATACAAACTATTAGTCAAGATTATAATAGAACCCCACCCAAAGCACCCCAGGGGCAGTCCCAAGTCCAAGTTCCCCTACCAATTTCAATCCAATGAATGAGTGAAAGAAAAAAATGTTAGAAAGCGGCGCAAGGATCAGAAATGGCTCGTCACCACTCCGCAGAGTGCAGAGCGCAGAGCGCTCCCAGGAAGCACCTGAATCCATACATAGCAGAGGGTTAAACACAGCACCAGCCCATGCCACATACGAGTGTGAGGAAGAGTTCGATATGCAAACACAGCTGCCTTATCGACCCGAGACCCAATGCCTGTGACTGAGTGGATGGATGCATGAATGGTTGAATGGATGAGTGGATGAGTGGATGGGTGAGCACCACTTCCCTGGCGAGGCAATTATTTAACAATATTATTAGTCGTGCAGTTAATCGGTGCAACACTCCCGCACCCTCGAATGCCGACATTTGACCATCACAAAAGGGTTTTTGGTCTCCTCTTTGGAATGGAAGAATTATCCACAGACGACTTCAAGACAACTATAGCGCACTTCTCAAAGTTTATTAGCTTGCTGATAAGTGGATTCAATCTGCAGTTTTTGAGACTGCAAATATGTGACTCTTGTAAGCCCTCGGGATGGCACATTAAATTCTGATTTGCTCCTCTGAGACTTGTATATATTCCGAAATCTTCTCCCGCTTAGTTTCTCATCTTTGATCAATTTGAATTTGAATTTTGGCTTCTCCCACCTGAAAGTTTTGCAACTGCACTCACCGTATAATTCGTTCTCTTTGATCCACGCACTGCGTCCCGAGTGTTGGAGCATTGTGTGGGCCATGTGGTGGTAGGAGGACATCTCGTCCCCGAAGGTGCCAGCGAAATTCTTGGGCAGATATTGCCCGGCGGCAACTGCAGCGGCGGCCACCGCATTGTGACTGGCCAGCAGGTGGGCGGCGGCATGGGCGTGGGCGCCGACATGGGCATCGGATCCAACGCCAACGCCAGCGGCACTGGCGGCAGCGGCAGCAGCAGCACTGCTCTGGTGGTGTGGCAGTGGCAAGGGAGGGGCTGCCGTTTGCTGATGGTGCTGCGAATGCGAATGCGGATGCGGATGCGGATGCTGTTGCTGGTGATGCTGCGGATGCGGCTGATGGTGATGCGGATGCTGCGGCGGGTGGTGGTGGTGCGGCTGCTGTGGGTGGTGCTCTGTGGTGTGATGCTCGCCGTGTCCGGCCCCAGCGCCATGCTCCTCCAGCGCCGCCGCACTGGTGGGCGTCGGCGAGAGCGTTGCCTGTCCATGCCCATTGCTGGCCTCCGCCGCGTGGCTCAGTTCGCTGCTGTGCTGGGCAACCGCAGCGGCGGCAGCAGCGGCAGCGGCGTTCTTCAGATCAGATCCGTCCAGATTGAGTATGTCCGATATGTGAAATCCGGAGCGCTGCGACGATGGCACTTTGGCATCAAACAAACTGCAAGCAAAAAGGAACAAATTATTAGAAAGAGATAAATATATAAATATAAATATGAGGCAGGATACTCTGGTTCAATGCTAAATGAATGCCTTGATTGATGTTTCGATTGAGGCTTGAATGAATTTTGCTACTTGCTACTTGCTCTTGTCATTCTGTCATCTTTCAACTGCAGTTTCATTGCAGCCCATTGCTGCTACATCCGGTATTCATGAATGGCGGAAGGCCCAACAAAGGCTTTAGAATGTGGCTTGAACAGAGACTGGCCAGGTCTACCTGTCGGGGCTGCATATGTACCTGCCGCTGGCCTGACTTTCGCAGATTGCGAGCGAGACTGTGTGACGGGAGAGCTCAGTGGGAAATGCTCGAGCAAGAATTAACTTTGATTAAGTGCAGCCAAATCGCTGGATTATTGACACCTAGTCCCAGCGGCCTTTCCTTTTCCATTTCCATTTCCATTTCCCTTGTTAAAGCCCGAACGAGACCCAGAGGCTAATGAAAATTTGATTTTCCACTAATACCATCAACAATTAAACACAAATCTGCTTTAGAGCAAGGCACTGACCACTGACCACTGACCACCGCTGGGATCGCCCGCCATCTACCTGTACAAGCGAAGATAGGATCGCATCGGATAGGAACGGATCGGCTCGGATCGGATCGGATGGGATAGGATAGGGTCAGGTCGCTCCTCAGGTCGTGCCACATGTTGGCGCAAGTTTTTCGCGCGCTGCTTCCGGTTTTTCCACATTGAATTTTTCGAAAATTCCCACGCCAGAGACGGCTCGGCCCGGCACGATGGTGGGACAAAGACGGCGACACACATGTTGTGTGTGCAGAGGGAATTCCCTCCGCCAGACAGTGTGACGCCGTCGTCGTCGCTCAGGGGAAGACCTGTCGTCCGAATCTACGATCTACCGAGTGCTCGCCTGTCTGCTGCACACATGTTGGCCCTGGTTTGGAGTTTCCCTGACCACTCTCACCTACTGTCCACATGGATGGATGGGAATTTCTAAGCCAGGGCCAGGCGTTAATTCTACGATCCAAATGCGAGGACCTTGAGTACTTGCTCGCCCAGCAAAACGGGGGAAATACGTCCCATATTCGCGCGTTTTCCTCTCGACAGGATTTGGCTAATTTGGCCCAGCAAGTGGCCTCATTGGATTAGTGTGCAAAGTCCATTAGCTAGCCAGGACTAGCACTAGGACTAGGCACTAGGCACTAGGGCAGGGGCTCGCTCAGGGGTGTGACTATGCGAGCCGAGCTTAGGCGAAGGCAAAACTGCGGCTTAGGCAGCAAGCAAAGGCAATGATCGAGCCGTGAAGATCGAACTTTGATACCTTGCAGATTTTAGCGGTTAGAAATGAATTCAATCTCTAGTTCTGAGCAATAAATAAGTAGAACTTAAGATCGAACTTGGAGTAGTAGATGGAACATGGTGTGAAAAGAGTTTGATTACAGAAATATGACAGAGGACTTTAGGAGTGATGGATCAGCAATGCAGATTCTGCTCAGAGATGGAAGATGGAGCTTGGAAGCAAGTCAACATATAGTTCCTCCCCCAGAGGTTAAGATATTTTACCAATCGAACTTAAGGAAAGTTAAGGGATATTTATGATCACTTGATAAGCCTCTCCAAAGATCCCTCTCTCATCTCTCCACTCCCTCCCGATCGTGCTTACCCGGGCAAGGCGTTGCGCAGGGCCGCCGGATAGAAGGCGGCTGGCAGCAGGGCGTGGCTCCAGGGCGGCAGCAGTATGGGCGACCAGGGTAGAAAGGGGGCAGCCGCTGCAGCAGCCACGGCCGCCGACGAGGGCACCATGAGGCTGCCCATGCCATGGAGCCCGGGAAAGCCACTGAAGGCCGCCGCTCCTGTGGGTATGCGCAGATGCTCGGTGGCGGCCAGTCCGGTGCCGCAGGGCGTCGTTGTCGTCGGCACCGTGGTGCTGGCTGTGCTGAAGACCTTGGAGGAGCGCTCTCGGTCCTGTTCCCGCTCTCGCTCCCGCTCCCGCTCACGCTCCGCACGATCTCGGTCGCGCTCGCGCTCGCGCTCGCGTTCTCGCTCCCTGGCCCGTTCGCCCTCGCGATCTAGCGAGGGGGTGGAGGTGCGTAGCGGTCGCTTGGGCGTTGTGGGGGTCGTCGGCGAGGCGGGACTAACGGTGATGGCGCTCTGCGGGGAGGCGGGCAGGCTGCCGGCGCTGCCCAAGCCGCTGCTATTGCCGCTGCTAAGCTCCCGTTCGCGGCTACGCTTTGAGGGCGTACGCTCCAGGGCGCCCGAAGTGGTCATCTCCAGAGCGGCGGGCGATCGGCCGTCTGGCGGCTGCTGTGGCGATGTGGGGGCAGGGGATCCGTTCGATTTGCGCCGCTGCTGGGCGGCGGGCGCCGGAGACTGACTCTTGCGTTTCTCCGCCACTTTGTGGCTGTTGTTGGCACGCCCGGACACGGAGTCAGGGCACGGGGACACGGGAAAAAAAAGCTCACACACACGCGAACTGAGGGAGAGATGCACTGGGAAACTTTTTGCACTTGAGACTCAAGGACCTGCTAGCAAAATCCAATGGCAATCATAATCAATGTTGGTCCGTCCGTTTGGCTAGCAAAGTATTCGGCTTATCACGGATGCGGAATCTGTCGAAGGATGCGGCTAAGGATGCGAATGCGGATGCAGATACGGATTCACTTGGTCGCGTTCGGGCTCTGCGCTGTTAGCCGCACTCTAAACATTCCAAACTGAAGTGTCATCAACAACTAACGAGACATCAAGAACTCGACACGAGTCCAACCAGCCAACGGCAGAAAAGTACCAAAAAAAAAACAGAATCTCTCTCTCTCTCTCTGTGTGTGTGTGTGTGAAGGGTGTCTTTTGGTATATGGCCAGGGCTGCATCCCTCCACCATTTGGCACATACATAGACATAGACATATATGTATATGGAGTCGTGAAGCAACACCAGTGCAAACGGAGCACCCAAGTAGAGACGAGCCCGAGCTGAGCTGAGCCTGAAGAGAGACACTCTCCTGTTGTTGGGCCACGCTAAGTGGCTTCTCATGTCCTTTTCAACAAGGATACAGCGCTGAAGAAGCCCACGCCAACAACAACAAACAGCCACATTGTGAGTGGCTCGTTCAACCACCGGCAAGGCAACAACTGCAGAACCCACCACCAGCCAGCTCGAGCTCAAGCCAGAAGCCAGAAGCCAGAAGTGAGAGCGAGAGCGAGCGAGATCCTTGTGTCTGTCCGTGCGTCTCGCTTGCACCGCTTGCAACAAGGGCCACTGGCTGCTGCTGTTGCTGCCCTGCTCTGCCCTATCCGACGAGTGCCCACTTGAGCCGCCGCCTCTCTGCTCCCTGTGTGTGTGTGTGTGTGTGTGTGTGTGTGCTCACGAGTGGCTTTTAGTGTGCGTGTGAGCCATTGTAGAGCTCGAGTAGCGGCAGCAGCGGCGTAAGAGAGGGAAACTCTCTAGGTAGGACGGACTGGTACCCACGTCTTGGTTCCCAGCCAGTCAGACAAGTTCCTTTTGTGGCTCGGAAAACTCTTTCATTCATTCACATTCACATTCACATTCACATTACGAGTTTAAGAATGCTCGGCTCTCTCTCTGCCAACTATCTCTTCCTGGCCCGGTCGGTCCATGCTGGCTTGGCTCTGCCCTACACTTGATGTTGTCAACAATTGCCGCGTCATTATATTGTGTTTATCATTATCGTCGCTGTAGTGCGGGATCCGGGGACAACGACGACGCACCTACGACAGCCCCAGAGCCGAGAGTGTGTGCGAATGTCTTGTGCGAGTGAGGGACAGGACATGATTTTATGGTCAAGCCCTGACATGATATCATAGATTGTATAAGAAAAACAGAGGAAGAAAAGACATGATGTCAACTTCAAATAAATGTACAGGGATACCGGCGAAAATTAACTTTAGGATCAATGCGAGCAACACCAATACGATTCAATACGTTAATAAATATTATTTATGTAATTAAGAGATGATGAATAACCATGAATGATATTTAATATATAGTGCAGAGGAACATCATGCATTTTAAGATCAAAATGCATCACAGCAAATATCTTTGTCAAGCAGCTCCACACGAATGAACTCCACATGAAACTTGAAACAAATGCAAATTGTGCCCAAGTATGCATATCTATAATTATGCATATAGCTGGTCAGAGAACAAACCTTAAGAGCAATTCATTTGCACCATATGGAACTACACAACTTCCTATAGTCCTCTCTGCCCTAGAATGCATATTTATGTAAATATGTACAATGTATGTACAATATATGCATTCATTCGTTAGTTGCCACTTCAAGTACAACTAATATATTTACTACAACTGACAACCAATTCCAAGTTACATATGTAAATAGGTTGTTTCGATTTTGTTTCACTGATAGTCTCATGGTCAAGTTACACTCAAACTCTATTATTATCCTTTACTTTTCTGTAAGAGCTTCTGATAATGTTCTGATACAATTTCGCATTCTACTCCTCTGTGATTGTAAATGCCTTTACACTTTCAGTGATTACCCTTACATAAAGCATAAAGGGTAGCATTTCCGACCCTTAAAAACATAAACAACCGAAGCGTTGCAGCCATGTCATTACATTTCTATGCTGACTACATTCGCGCTGCAGGAACGGGTTAATAGAAAATACATAGTGAAGTTTCTTGGATTTATCTTTGAATGTTTAGTTGATGTTGAGAGTTGAAATGCTTTAAGTCTGAGTAGACTGTGGCGAAAGTTCTATAGCTATTTCATGTTGTTTTGGCGGCCTGGTGTACTGAACTGATAATGTTATCTATCAATCTCACTTATAGACGAATATTTGATGGAAGTTTTTGGACAAATATATAATGGAAAATCTCCACAGTCGAACAAAAAAGGCGCACAAAAGTCCATTTAATGCATCTTTAGGTCTAATCCTTATCAACATGTCATCCATTCAAGTTCTTCGTTCTGTATCGAATATTACTTTGACACGGAAAAGTTCTCCAACTGTTTCCATGAGGCTTTCCTCTCGTGTTGGCAGAGAGGCACCCAAAAATTATTTGAATTTCGACTTCATAAGCTAACCCATGATTAGCTCAGATCCTTCACATGCCAATACTACTCTCTGTCTACCAGGACACACCCAGAAGAGGAAGAGTGGCCCCAAATAAAATATAGGAAAAAACATAATCAACACGAACATTAAGCTAACTTGAACAATCCCCCAAAATGGAGCCACGGCCGGGAGTTGTGGGGCAATTGAAAAGGAGAAAAAGCAAAGGGAAAATGCTACATTGCTAGACACATGGCGTGCCTGGATCCCATCCACAAACATATGTAAAAATATACACATAAGAGTGCTGGAGTACATACCAGAAGTATCTCCTCCTGTACATAGAAGTATCTCTATGTGGAGGGTCGCTCTTTACATAAGCCTCTCCGCCCCCAAACATCTCTACAGCAGGGAAGTGGCACTCCATTGTCGCTCATGACGTTCACACCATCATCAATCCCATCCCCCCCCTACCACCCCTCTTACATACAAGAGCATATAGTAATGGTGCGGGGGAAATTTACTTGTAATGCCGTCGGCGTCGCAGCCATTCTCGCCGTCGGCGTCACCGTCACCGTTGCGACGGTTCTGCCAAGTGGGCGCGCCCGTCGGCCTAGGCCCTGGCCAATCAGCACGCAGTGGGAGCGAGATGGCTGGCTATGCACAGTGCGCGCATGTTAGGGAAATTTTCACGGCACAGTTCACTCTGTGCGAAGGATATTTTGGCAATGGCAAAGGGATATTCTGTGTTCTCTTGTTGTTGCTGTTGCTGTTGCTGTAACTGCGGCCAGGGCCTGCGCACGCCCATTTTCAATTGGGTTTCTTTTTTTTGTTGTTCCTTTTCCTCTCTGCCACATAGGAAAAGAAACGGTAATGGAGTGAGGAGCGACGGTGCGGAGTGGGGCGGGGGTAGATGGGCCATTGTTATGGGCTTAATGATGATGTTGCATTTAACAAAGTAAAAACCTTTCAAGCAGCGCTGCTGCCTCGCTCGACTGTTGTTATAGTTTAGCTTCCGCAGGAAGTTTAAGTAGCAGCAACAACAACGCCAACAAGAACAATAACAATAACACGAACAGCAACAGCAACAGCAACAACTACTACAGTAGTGCAAAATGTATCTGGTATCTGTACGAGTATCTTCTGTAGTCTTCCCTGGCATTCAAATTACATACAAATTCAATTCGATTCTCGCACAAAAACTCGTTTATTTTTATTGTTGTTCTTTCTCTCTGCTTTTTTTTTGGTTGTATTTTGTATATATTTTCGTTTCTGCTTGTTTTCCCTTTTTGCACTTCAAACTACTTTAACCAATTGTTGTTGTTGTTGTTGTTGTTGCTGTTTTGTGTGTGTTTATTTCCATTTAGGATCTAAGTATTGAAATGCTTAAATGGCAAACTCCCATTGTCGCATTCCCCCTTTTGTTTTTGCTGGAATCCTTTTCAGGCATCCTTTTTGCTGCATTTTTGAATTAGTTTTCAATTTATTTACATATCAGCGATGGCGAGAGGGGCTAAATGTGGAAAATGTGTGCAGGTATTTAATAAGCTTAAAAGAGAGTAAACTTTATGCTTCAATGCTTTGGTTGAATAATAATTTCTTAAGAAATGCAGGGCTTCAAATTGAGTAAAAGAAGGACAACAAATACTAGAAAATATTGCAGAACTTCAGGAAATAAATTTTAAATGTGTTGTGAACGATGAAGTTAAGCTAAAGTGAAAAGGGCATTGGGCAGCCACAAAACTAAAGAGCATTCTGGAGACAGTTTGTGACAACCGTCAAGTGCGAAGATCACAGTAAATAGCATCGGGAGGGAGCCATAAAAATACATACAAACTGTATCAAATCACAGCCTAAAGCATGCTTGTACACAAAAACAACATAAATGCAGCTAAAAATACTTTTAATCCGTCCGTAAAGCTGTGCCCTGCCCCTCGTGTCGCTGGGCCATTCAAAACTCAAGAGAAAACTCAAAAAAATGTCAGCCGGCAGCTGGCAGCAATTCGATTTAAAGTGTGACAATGCATTGGGCTTGGCTCTGGTCCTGAACCTGGCAGTGGCCCTGGCCCACGGAGGAGTGCCACCAATTGTATCCGTATCCGACAGATACACACAATTAACAGCGGCAGTTGATTTCCATTTAGCTGCGGCTCTTTCCACACCAAAATGCAATAAAATATCGTATGTTGAATGTCAGACGACGATTGCCCATATCCCTGTTGCTATTGCCGTCATGTTTTCTGGTGTTGTTGCTCTGTTCAGCAGGCAGAAACCGCGTGACATGGCCTGGAGGGGGGAGGGGGGCACTAACAACCCCAATTAAACGCTTCGTTTGCCATACAGGGAGAAGGTTTTTGGCAAAAGGTGTTTGCTTAGCTGAGATACAATTAAGCGAGAGCGCAGCCATGGCCATAGCTCGAGAAGCGATCAAAGCAGCGTGCCACACATACAGATGCACACACTCGAACCATTCATTCATTCATACATTCATTCGCTCACTCACTCACTCACTCACTCACTCACTCACTTACGCACTCACGTTCATTCAATGCTCGTTTTGAAAATGTCAGCCCCTCCTGCCGCACCGCACCGTTCATCCCATTGTCATCCATTTTAATTTACCTTCCGGTTTCTGCCTTTATTCCCTTCATTTTGACCCTATCTGCTCCCTATCTTTCAGCTTCTTTCTCCCTTCCTTCCCTTCCCTACCCTGCACTATGTTGGCCCGCTCGTGTTCTCAATTGAC